TATACCTGGCAAGGTGCCAACTACACCTTTATTTTCAAGGTGGCCTGAACAGAGTGTTTTACGGCAGCAAACCCTGGTCTCAGGCCACCTTGAATTTAGCTTGAAAACCACAGCTTTGAAGCCTCATGCGCGCCATACCCGGGAACAGAACTGTAGCTACTTGTAGCTACCCTGGGTCCGTATAAATACTATGTTGCTATACCTCTTACACACCTATACAAGTTCAAAGCACGAATGAGACTTCAAAGCTGTGGATTGCTGTGCGTGTGTAGAGGGTCTCAAGCGGTTGACGGAAAGGGAACTTGAAGTACTATACCTGGTAGCTGCACTATGGCTACCCTAGGTCTCTATACCTTGCAAGGTGCCAACTACACCTTTCCATTCAGATGATGCAAATGATGCATTTGGCATTTCTTGCATCACCACCCCTCAAAAATCACCTCCAACACAACCTCAAAAAACCTTCCCTCGGAGCACCCTCCTCCCCCAGCATGTGCCGAGTTGACGTGTACCTTTCTCGGGCCACCCCCCCAGACCCCCTAACTACTCACTTCGTTCGCCAGACACAACTCCGCTAGCGCCTTCTACGAAGGCTGGCTTTCGTAAAAAAGCTCTTTCTTATTCTTGTGCGAATGAACCTCCTTTTGAGGAGCGTTCAACAGTCTTGCAAGAAGCTGTTTTTGGTTTCGAGAGCTCCCTCGAGGGCGCACCAACAAGCCAACAAGATGTTTGTCAACAAAAGCACACATGCAATCTGCCTTGTTGGTACAGCACGCAAAAAATTGCGCAAATAGATTACTTGTTGTCTTCTGACCTTGAAAAGAAGGGATCGTTGTTTGGGTGGCAAAAGGGTTTCAACGGAGACTTCACGGAGGCTCTTAACGGAGACTTTACGCCGAGGCGTCCTTGATCAAGAGAGGTCGTCCAACTTTAGCCTCGGTGCTCACCTGCAACCGCTAACAGTTCTGGCTGTTAGGGTCTCTGAGTTTGAGCTAAAGAAATACGGTTGATCGGCAATCCTGCATCATCTACAACAAAATACTCTATTGATCATGGAACTACCAATGCAAACCACTCTTTCCATGGTGCAAGGGCGGAGCCGGGTGTTGTGCCAAAGGCTTAAGCATGCACTGAGGAACTCAAAGATCAACAACCACAAAACATACAGACTCCCATGAAGAAATACAATGAAACACAAACCAAGCTTTTAAACTCGCTCAGGCAGCAAAAATCCCCTTCCTCAAGGGTCAAACCTCAAACCGCCTCTCTAGCTTCCCGCAAAAAGAATTGCCTCGATGCGGAAGGCTGCTGGGGCTTGTAGGCCTCCTTCGTGGCCCTCACAGGCACGAATAGAAGCAAGTTGCAAAAGAATTGGATAATCTCAAGGCTTCACCCAAGTGAAGGTCAATCAACCATTCCCGGTCTGGTAAACAAAGTCGGCGCTTCAAAAATGACTCCTCAAAAAGATTCTTGGTTCATGACAGCCAGGCCTGCCGATTTAAGCAGGATCCACAAACATAGGTTTATATAACTGCTGGTCCTGTTCAGTCCCTCTCACGTTTCAACACATGGAGATCCCTTTCTCAAGGGTTGGCTTAAAGGTCTGCCATACTTGGAGCCTGGAGAACAGAAGAATCACAAGCCCTCTGGTACCCTGGCTTTAGACATCTTGTGTCATTCGCCCTGTCTGGTTTCTCAGATGCCAGCCCGTGGCCATCCAGCACAGGTGACCTTATACAGCATCTAAAATCAGTGGAGTCAAACTAAAATCCAAATCATCCTAAGACGAGTCCCTTCCAAAGCGATTCTCCAGACCAAATTGCCTTAGATCCCTTAGTGACTGCAGTGACGAGGCTCACACCCAAAGGCCCAGCCAAAGGGCAATCATGGCCATCGCCATCAAGGACGGTCTTCATCATGGAAAAGCAAGACGGTTTCCTTTTGTTCTCTTTTTGGTCGCGTCCTCCGATGTTCTTTTCGATCGCACCACCGATGGTTTTGCTCCCCTTTTGGCACGATCCGTTCACTTCGTCGGCTTCGGAGCGAATCGGGAGTCGGACTCCTCGGTTCGAACGGGGGGATCTGGGTTGGAAAAAGGTCCGGATCTGCGAGATTATGTCCAGTCCACCCAAGCTGCACACTTCGCAGTAGGCTCTCTTCAGACCAAGTCTATGACCTCATCTGTGAGGATACCTAGCCCTCTGAGAAACCCAAGATTGAAAGCTGTTGTTTGGGAATTGTCCATTCTCGATCTACTTCAGGATGTTGCTTTTTTGACGCTATGTTTGGGACCCAAAGTAGAGATGACCATGGCTCCTTGCGCTGCGCATGTCAGAAAGTGGGTTCTCAGCATCAATACCCTGCTGGATGCCATGCCGAAGGATAGTAGAACAAACCCTTTGTATGTGAACATCACCTTTCCTGTATGTCTTTTGGGAGAAAAGCCTCTTCACACTTCTGCGAATTGCGTTCTCGTGTCACATGGCTTGTTTGTGCCTACTGCTTGAAGCTACAAAATGCCAGGGGCTGCTGTTCACTGACTATGAAACCTATCAGGTTGGCATGTCAGATTGCTCAAAGGCCCAAAGAGATACCAGCGTTTCGGAAACCCAGTGAAAGAAACCAGAGAACATATGCTCTTCTTTGAGAAAACCCGAAATCACCACCCTGTCTTCAACTTATAGATAGATAGATAGATAGATAGTTTTGAGTTTTGAGTTTGAGGCGCTCGTCGGAGGTCCGTCGAATGCGTGGGCACAGAGAACATGTGTCTGCGGCTGACTTGAGAGTCAGTCATGCACCGTAGTGCGCCGATGGTCATTTCGACCTTCAACATCAATCAAATAAAAACACATTCTGCTCCACAAGCCACTGTGGCGAGAGCAGAAGAAAGTTCATATCTGGTTAATTAGCCAGGCACAAAAAGCTGCCCGTTTGTGGTGCCACCGAAGGTTGCTCAATCTCCATTCGGAGAGGGCTCACATGGAAAAAACACCAGGTATCGTGTGAAGAGCAGCCAGTTCATAGTCCAATCTGCACCATGGAAGAAAGGACTAGGAGAACATGGCACGTCAAGCAGACCCAGTTCATACATCGTGTACCGCATGAGGAAGAGTGCGCTCCTCAGTTTCATCCCTCTCCTCTTCTGCAGCAACTGGCCTCGGCTCCGATGGTAACGATGACCAGGTTGTGTGGCTGTACTGATCCAACGACAGACCAGTCTCACCTGTGGACTGCACCGGATTCTCCAGCTCTCGCTGCGTACGACTTCGTACCTGCAGAACTGCGCCTGCACGGACTTCGATCTGTTGCCAAGCTTCTCTTCTTTACGACACTGATCCCGTGGGTTGCCCTTCGCCCAATTGTTCAGGGGGCGCTTCATTTCCCCAATGGTAATTCTGCCCCTTTCAGGCAAACGCTGGGCCGTTTGCCAACCCTGCTCTTTCCCACCCCCATTTTCAAAAAATATACCAACAAAGCCACGGTGCGGGGTGGACCCGGAATTGGGACCGTGCAGGATCGTGGAGGTGTGAAGCTCGCGGCAGATGACGATCGCAAAGATCAACCAGCCCAGGGGCCAGGACCCCATGCAAGCAGCAGACCGGGCGGCCATCAAACCAAGTCACATCGTGGCCTGGACACAGCCTCCTTGACCCTGAAAGGCTGATAGATAGATAGATAGATAGATAGTAGGTAGTAGGTAGATAAATAGACAGACAGACAGACAGACAGACAGACAGACAGACAGATAGATAGATAGATAGATAGTTTTTGAGTTTTGAGTTTGAGGCGCTCGTCGCAAATCCGTCGAATGCGTGCGCACAGAGAACATGTGTCTCCGGCTGACTAAAGAGTCAGTCATGCACCGTAGTGCGCTGCCGTAGTTCGCTGATGGTCATTCCGACCTTCAACAATCAAACAATAAATAAAACACATTCTGCTCCAAAAGCCACTTTGGCGAGAGCAGAAGAAAGTTCATAGGTGACTGAACAGCCAAGCGCAAAAAGCTGCCAGTTCGTGGTGCCACCGTTCCAAGGTGCTCTATCTCCATTCGGAGAGGTCTCGCATGGAAAAAATGCACCAGGTGTCGTGCGAAGATCGGCCAGGTCACAATCCAACCTGAACTATGGAAGAAAGGCTGGGAGAACATGGCCAGTCGAGCAGGCCCGCTTCAGACGTCATGGACCCCATGAAGAAGAGTATGCTCTTCATTTTCATCTCTCTCCCCTTCTTCGACTATGGGCCATGGCTCCGACGGCAACGATGACCAGGTGGTGTGCCTGTACTGGTCCAACGAGGGGCCAGTCTCGCCAGTGGACTGCACCGGATTCTCCAGCTCTCGCTGTGTACGACTTCGTACCTGCAGAAC